GGAAGCGATTCAGAGACTTCAAAGATGTTCGAACACAGCATGTGGAACAGTGTGAGTTCTGTCAAAGAGAGAAAGAAAATAAGAAATTAATCGTTCAGCTTGTGGAGAACCATCAGAGACAGAAAGGAATGAGGCCTTTTGAAATGCACTTGTCCAGGAACAATAACGATAAGATGAAAGACTTAACCGGGGAAAACGTGTATTATGGTCATAGGATGAATTAAATCTTTTTTTCTCTTCTGAGTTTTTTACTCAAGCATAGCCTATTACACAAATCTTTTTCTGTGCTGCTTTTCTAAGTTTCAGAACAAAATTAAGTGGGTTTTAAATTAGATTAAACAGTACATGGCTTCCAATTCGGGGTTAAGATGTTCAAAACATCTAGCTACAAGCTTGAATCCCTCCCTATAAAGCTTTGATACTCTGTATTTCCGAGCATTGCGTAAGTATCCACGTAGAACAGAATCACAGAGACACAAATTATGTAATGATGTTCCACAATAGAATTATATTCACTATACTCAAATGGCCTCCACAGTCACCAGATTTCAATCCAATAGAGCACCTTTGGTTTTTTGAGAATCATCTTTTTAGTTTCATTAAAAATTAAATACATCATGATTTTATTTGATTTCATTTGATTTGACTTCTAGTGATCAGAATTCTTGGGGTGTTTTCCATTAAAAGTATCTTATCATCCTTAAAACAAGACATATTTAGGCTTAGAAGCAAAATTGTTTAAGATATTTGGACTTCATGGAATATACCTTGAATTAAGTTTATTTTCTTACCCCATTTTAAATTTTTTAAGCATAGCCACTGATTTTGTTAGATTTTTGCTTAAACATGTGGAAAAACATACTGGTATTTTAGTGGAAAACCAGATACAAGTGATGATTTAGAAAGTGATTTTTGCAGGTTGTTGTTAACAGTAGTGTTGCACCACTGGGCACTTAGCAACACTCTTCACCTGAGGGATCTTTTGTTCTGTTTTCTTCGCTCAACAATCAATAGAGCTCACTTTCCTGCAGGATAAAGATAGTTCAGGAGATTGAAATGCACGTGACGTGCTATCAATTCTAGATCCGTTGCAGACTGCTATTTCTAGCACTAGGTTTGAGAGAGGAAAACCTCTTTCCGTTTCACACAATATATTGCGGATGGGCATATGGAGAAGACGACATGCCAGAAATAAACCCTTTACTTGTTTTGTCATTTAAATCTTATTTTCTGTTCCATTTGTTTTTGATATCCAATTTCATCAAACTGCTGTTTTCTGTCTCAACAGAAAGTGAGCTGTGTTCAATTACCTTCGTAGAGCTCTCGTGATCTCACCGTTAATCTATCTGACCTACAGCTGACTTTGTGTTTTCCTCTTTTGGAAAATGCAATTTGGAGATGAGGCATTTTGTCATTGGCACAACCTGTCTGTGACAGACAATTTTAGCTTGTTGTCTAGCTGAGATAAAGGAGAAGACAAGAGTGACGAGAGATGAGGAGGAGACATAGACATACTGACAGAGAGAGAAAGAGAAAGCGGAAGTGTCCCCAGGAATAACTTCTCCATTATCCTTCAACATTACAGTTGAGCTTTAACAGAGAATGGACATCACATCTGAGCCACAGGCTGACATGACTTAAGGTCCCAAAAAGACGCAGTTATTCTGTTTGAAAACACTTCTGATCAAGATTGAATGTAAAGGTTTGGTTTCATGATTATTTTACTTAAATTTAGCTGAAAAACCTATAATATGCTGTTTAAAGTATTTAGATCTATTCCCACCCATCACATAAAATGTTGCCATGATGAGCATTGAGCAAGCAGATCACAGTCTGTTGATGGCGAGAATGAAGATCTTATCATTGCAACTCAGTTTCTGCTCTCTCTAATGCTTTCACCACTGCAAACACGATGATGTAAATACCTAATACAGTAAGAGCTTCGTTGTGCAGTGTAACGTGCGTCCTTGATTTCATAACGAGTTGTCCAGATAAACTCGCGCTGTTTGGAAAGATTGTTCTTTGATCGCTTTCTGTATAATTTGTTCAGAATTTAAATAAGATTATTTTCATCCTACTAAAAGAAACGATGTGAAGTTGATATTTGATGCATAAACAGTATTGAACGATTTTGAGAGAAAGATTAACTTGCCTGTCTGAACTTGAACAATTAGGCTACACATCAGAAATTGTTGCTTGGTAGCTTGATCGATTTATTTTCAGACGTTCATCGAGTTGAGGAAACAGTCGACGTCGGTGAAATGTTTGGACCATACGCAACTTGTCGGCGCATTTCCAGAGAAAATGAAATTAACCCATTGTTTCTTCAGAGGCTCGGATGAAGGAACTAAAAAATACTTTTGTGTTCATTTGTACATCCGAACACTGATCAACTGCCATGCTTCGCTCGTTTGCAAGCCATGATATCTCTCGAGGAAAAACTCAAATCTCAAAGCTATTTCTCTAGGAAAAACTAAAATCGCGTTGGCGCGTTCGTACTTCCTGTTCCTAGCTCGTTTTCTCATGGGTGAACCAAATTCTCTGAGCGGGCAAAGCAGAGAAAGGGGGAGGTAATCTTTCCCCTATATGACGTAATATAGGGGAGATTCAAGATCAGCGCATCTGAGATCTCATTTTCTCACAGGCAGAGAAAGATAGCCAAAACTCGGTTTACACCGACTGAAATTTCTAGACACGAGGGGACCAAATACAGACTAGGGGAACTAATATTATTGTTAAAAAAAAAACAGAAAGTGAAAAATTCATGTCAGGGGACCTTTAAAGTGGGCCCAGAAAATGCCACTGCAGGTTGGGTTCAAGGAGGCCTAATACTTATAGAGAGCTTTCTTTTAGCTTTCCCATTTATCTCAATGGTAGTTTCATGGGATAACATACAAATCAACATAACCCCATAATAATCAATCATAATAGGCATAATCAGATTTCAATCCATATGAAAATAAAAGGTTAATACTGCAGGCTGTTACCTGAAATATGTCAAAACATGTATATTTGCTTGTATTCATCAGAATGTAATGCACTGCTGATTTTGAATGGCCCTCAATGGAGAAAGATGCTTTTTTTGCAGCCAGATGGTGCCAGTCTTGCCACCAGCAGGGGCTAACAGGGGCGCACTACCCTGCCAAACCGCCTGTTAAAGAACTGCAATATGGTTCAATATGGTATAAAAGGGATAGTTCACCCAAATTCTGTCATCATTTACTCACCCTCATGTTGCTTCAAGCAAGTATGACTTTCTGTGAAACACAAAAGGAGATGTTTTATTTAAAAAGTTTTTTTTGTGGAAAAAATGAAATCCAAAACAACACTGAAAAAACCCAACAACACTCTGTCTGAGTAATTTTTTTCCAAAATATCTTTTTAACAGTTTTGGAACAACATGAGTGCCAGTAAAGGGGTAAGAATGTCCATTTTCTGGTGAACTCTTTCTGGTGATCTCTTTAAATGTCCTTTGCATCGGGAAGCATTAAAAGTTTTTTTTCATTGTGAAATAATTACATTTGTTTTATATTGCTTAATTATAAAAAGGAAGATGACTTTCATCACAATGAGAACGTAACAGAGAGGCTTAATTATGACTTTGGTGGCTCCATGGCACTGACGAGTTGAGGGGAATTAGATTAGCTGATCTGATGGCTGCCTTAAGATGAAAGAAGAAAGAAATGCATTAAATCTAAGCACCTTTAGGGCTTGATGTCTTCCCTGAATAGTGGTTTGCCAGTGTCATGGTGGCTTGAATTAAATGTGCATTTGCTGAGCTCAGACAGACCAGACAATTCAATTTGACACTGCCTTTAGAGAAGAGCTGAGGGCTAATGAGTTGCTCTGTCTTTAGTGCATATCCCACTGCTTCCGGATCAGCTCTTTCACTGCTGCCAAACAGATGAGGTCATCACTTTCTGCCCCCGTTACCATGGAGAAAGAATATAGGCTGGTAATGATATCCACCTTTAGACTGGTCTTATTTTTCTTTAGACTATTCAGTCCCATTTGCCATCTCCCTTGGCTCCAGAAGGCTTCGGAAGCTGAAGTTGGGTCATTATCCGCAGATATTTTTTTCTCCACACACAAAAGAGAATATTGTTTTCTTTATTTATAGAACTTTATTTTGGAGACTGTCATTTGATCTACACTTATCTGGCTCATGATTTCATTTGCTTCAGGCAAGAAGTGTAAAATAAAGACTGGCTTTATTGATATGAATCACATTGCAAGTACAACACAGACGCAAGCATAACAGTTTTAGATGACGCCATCTATTTCTTCTAACTAAGATAGCTGACACATGAATCTGTCTTAAAATACAATCATAGAATAATACCTTGTAAATACATTTTTTTTCACATTGTCTTTTGACACCTTTTTTGTGGACAACTATATATATATATATATATATATATATATATATATACACACACACTAATTGGCTTCTTTTTCTTACAATCCAACCTACTAAGTCACTGAGTCACTTTATAAACACAAAAAATAAATAAAAAAGATAACCCATAACAAAAGATACAGCAAAAATGAAACATGGCAGGAAGCATAGCAAACCCATTACTAATCGAATCTCTTTTTCACATTCAAGGTTCATATTACTGCGAAAAAGAATTAACAAAAAACAAAACAAACATACAATCATGTGTTTTGTAGTGCTTAAAAAATGCTCATGCAAATGTTTGCGAAGATCAGAAACTACATACAGTCACAACAGCACACTGCAGTTCTTTAACAGATTGCCTCCAACAGTCAGTGCCTTCGGTTCTTTAGTTGATGTTAAATAGTTTTGATTGCTCTCAATACAAAGGACATAACTGGGTAACTTAATGACATCTTTCTTTCATCAAGCTTCTATACCCTCTACTATGTAATTGAATCATATTTGTAAGCTGTACAAGTATATATATATATATATATGTGTTATTTTTGTTTTAAGAATAAATCTAACCGAATTCTGTTCAATTTATGCTTAATACTAGAAAAAAATCTTATTATCGTACGTAATTTTGTTTAATCATGTTTCGACATTTTTAAATGTACAATAAGATAAAATACTAACTAATACAATCTTTTCTTTTTTTAGCAGTGACAATTCAAACACAATCATCTAAGGAGAGCTTAAAAAAAGACTTTTTGGCAGCTTTTCATTATGTTGCCATTAACTATTACTTTTGATACGCCTTCTTTTATTGAACAATCATCAGGCATTACTCTAATTTTCAGTAATAAATTCCCTCAGTGCTACTGTATAGCTTAGACGGATGGAGAATGCCACTTTAGAGTTCCTCAGAGCGAATGAGGTGGAACAAGGTGACGTTATACAGCACCTGGTGTCCATTGTTCCATGCATAAAGAGCTCTGTCTCTAGGGTTATAATCCAGCATGGAGATATGGGAATACTTGTTCTGTAATGGGATGTCGATATACTCATAAGTAGAGGAGTTGGTATGGAAAGCATAGTAGACCTTTGTCCCTCCCGAGTATCCATTGGTGACATAAAGCGTCCCGCAGATCATGAAAGCCTCACCTGCGCTCCTCTTTGGGTGGTTGGTGGTGTAGCTTTTGATGATCTGCAGGGTTGATGGGTTGAGCTTGCTGATGATAATGTTTCCAGCATTTTGATTAGTGGCATACACGGCCCAAAGCCCACCTTCGTCCACCATTAGGTCAATGTCGGAGTGACCACCCCAGGAATAGTGGTAGCGGTTGTTGAAGCCGGCGTAATCCAGCTGACCAGACTTGCTGATGGTGGCTGTCTTAAAGTCGAATTTGATGATGGTGTTGCTTTGGAACTTATTGAAGTAGATGGAGCCGTTGTAGACCACCTGTCCTGTGCCCGACCAGGGGTGAGGAAGTCGATGCGAGGTGAAGTTGTCCGAATACATGAAGTCGGCCATGGACTTGTATTCCCGGACAAAGCGATTGTTGTGGTAACCGTCCATGTACCACACCTGGTGGTGGAAAAATGATTGAGCATCAGTGTCCTACCTATTAATTTATTAAAAAATGCATTACAAATGCATACAGTTACTCATGCTATAGTAAGCAGGTTTTTAATTTCTGAAAATGTTCTGGGTAAAAATGTCTGGGTGAGACAACTGTAATGATATGAAAGGTCCTGGGAAGTCTCATTAAAAGAAGAACACCTTATTAAGCACTTTGGTATAGTCTTTTATTATTATTAGAAATTATTAAATGGTCTTTAGCTGCACTGGTGTTAATATTTGAAAACTTCTGTCAACCATAGCCAAGTCATATGGAGAGACCAGACATGACAAGACATGACAAAACATGAAATGATATCATAGAGATCGGACCGTGCAGACCCTCATGGCTGTGTCAAGATCAATAAGCCTCTTAAATTATCAGAAAATCTGACCTTTCTGTGACAAGGCAAAGTGAGTCCAGGTTGTAAAATGTCATGTGGTATAAAAAATAATGACATTAATGAATTAATAAATATGAATTATGAATTATTTATGAATTATTTATAAATGAAACATTCGATTTATTTGTCAAAAAGCTTTTACTTAAAGTATATTTATATTTATTTAAAAAAAAATGACTAAATGTTTACACTCTCGAGGTTTAAGGAAAATATGTTATTAATTTTTACTTTATGTTTACACCACATGACATTCCTTTGGCTTGACACATGTGATTTTTTTTTTCCTTTTCTTTAATGTGGACAATCTTATGTCATTGATCCCTTCACAGTCAAGGTTAGTATGTAACCTGAGTCCTTAGGACTGGTCTGTCCGGTTTTTTTTTACTTGCCTATATTAGCATATCCCTGCAGTGAACCTATTTCCTAAAACCCAATCCTTAAAACAAGCACATTTTTAAAATGGTCTGACCCTGAAATATATGAAAGCTGCACTCTAAGGCTATCAGAGGCTTCACTCAAGGGCAACTCTCTGACCCCTCATCAATCATTTAAGGCTCAGACAGATCTGCAGGTCAGATGCCTTTCTGTTTCTGGGCTTTTCTACTGGATCGATCCATCTCAAAGGGGCTAAAAACTCCACAGCTTCACCTTCAGCCATCCTCTTTGAAGTTGTTGCATTAATATATGATGGGATCATGGATTAGTTGTCAAGCAACTTACTTGCTACTGACATCCAACCAAGATGGATGTGTTTGATTTGTTCAAGAAATTGGAGAAAGACAGAAAGCTTGCAAAGGCAGGGAACTAAAATAGTCTTACAAGATTCTTGTTTTCAGCACAGACTACTAAAGTATGTGAAAACAAAGATATGAAACCAACAGCAATATACCAACGCTTGTGTGTAGGAAACACTGACACAGGAATTAACAGACATCATTCAGCTCTTACTGGGAATGACTTTGCTGCCACACTAATGAAATCTTGCAAGATTTACACTGATCATTTGCATCTTAATGTGTGCTGGTAATTTAATAAACCACACTCTTGGCATGTTTGCAAGAAAATACACTGTAGGGATAAAAAGAGTGCTGATAAGACGAAGTCAAATACATTTTAGCCAAGAAAAACTTAAACAGAAGAAAGTCAGTTGTGATTAAAATGAGGGGTGTGAAGTGATCAAGGCTATTTTCTCCTACACAGAAATCCAAAGGAATTGAGTTAAGACAGTAAAGATTTGATGAACTCACCCTCGTATCACCGTCAGGGGCAAGCGGATCTGTCATCCAGGATCCATATCTTGATCCAGATGTCTTCATGGTTATAGCATCACTTATTCCTGTCAGCTTCCCACAAGCTGGTAATAACAGTAAAAAAATACTTTTTTATCATTTACCCACCCCCATGTAGTTACAAACATGTATGACATCTTGTCCGTGTTACAGTGTAACTATACATTTAAGTACTAATTAACTTCATCTACTTAATATAGGGTTAGGGTTTAGGATTAGGGTGTGTTTTAGGGTTAGTTGCATGTATTTATAGTAATTATAGTAACTACATGTAACGTGTAAGAAGGACACTGTAAAATAAAGTGTTACCGACAATTTTTTTTCTTCAGTAGAACACAAAAGGAAATATTTGGAAGAGTTTTTATGCTGCTCTTTTCCATGCAATGAAAGTGAATGGTGACCAAAAGCTGTCAAGCTCCAACAATATCAAATAAAAAATGTGTGCTATATAAGTTCAGCAGTAAATATTTGATGAACTCACCCATATCACCATCAGGGGATATTTTAAGTTATTCACTGATAATATTCTATTGTGCGTCGGGATGTATCACACCAGGTTTGACGTCAGTGACACCAAACGTCATTGGTTCTCATGTGTCTCATAATGTGATATGCCACATTTGAAAATGTGCATATTCAAATTGCATGAATGACTTGGAATATAGTGCACGAGTTGGGACTACTGTAATGCTACTTTTATGGTGCTTTTTGTCATTTCTGGAGCTTGACAGCCTTTGTCACCATTTGCTTTCATTGCGTAGAAAAGAGCAATATGAACATCCTGAATATGAGTTGTAATGACATGAGGGTAAGTAAACGATGAAAGATTTTTTCATTCTTGGTGAACTCTTCTATTTCCTTTAACATGTTGCTCCTTTGCTTTCTTATGAGAGAGTGAAATGCTGCTAAACTTCAATGTTCTGCACTGGTAAATGGGTTTGTGGTGGATGGGGGAGGCGTTGGAGTTCCTGTCATATTCTGCCGTGTGTTAGGCACTCAGGCATAAGTTTGCAGGCATCAGTGAACCTCTCATACTCTCTGTTTTGACACAGTGTCAGACAGACGCACTGGAGCATAACTTCTGTAGACGTCTGCAGTGTTGTAAGAGTCCTCACAAGGAAGCGTGTTCTTCTCTCATTTATATACTTCTTTCTGGACCTCTTTTTTGTCACTTTATCAGAGAATTGATGCTGTATCCCTTTCTCTCACTTTCTCTTTCTCTCTCTGGTTGTGTTGTTCTGGCAGTTCACTGGGGAATAGCAACTGCTTTAAAACGAAATGTACATTTATAGACACTCCTCTGTTTCCCCATGATATTTTTTTTTACAATATTCTGTTCTTGACACTGAAATGTGATCATTGTGATGCTTTATATAAAACTTAACTGGAGTCAGTTCTGGTGAAAGAACTTTTAAATTTCACTGACCTGGCTATCAGGTGTCATTACATGGCTCTCCAGAATACTTGATTCTGATTGGTCAATCACTGAAATATAATGGCACCAAACTGTATATCTGACAGTTTTCAAGTCTCTTGTTTCCCTTTGTGCTCTCTTTCTTCTTACATAATAAAAAAACCCTCAATATTTAATGTTCATGTATTTATTTGGTTGGTGAGTCAGCCAGTCATTGTCACAAAATAAACCCTTTCACGATGATATAAAACCCTTCTGCTTTACATCAGGGTTTATTTTGCGATCATGCTCAGCCGACTGTCCGTTATCTCTTATTTATTTTATATTGTGCTCTTCTTTCAAATTACAAATCAGTGGGCCATATTATATATTTTTAAAAATACAAGCTTTGGCATAAAAGCACTGCAATCAAATAATACTGATTTACCCTACATTAAATTCACTGCAAAGCCCTTGAACAGACTGACCTCTATACGATTACTCATAATCTGCTAATATTGACCTGTGCAATTCCATAATCCTTTTGGGATTGAATGAGTTGTGATTTATTCACCCAATTCTCTGTTCCAAAACCTGAATTCAAAGATATTGTATGATACACAATATTCAGTAAGCACCAGCCTGACTAATTGTCTCAGCACAGGCCCGACCAGACCCGATGTTAGTAGAGTTTTTGTTAGTATTTTTGGAGATAAATAGCAAAGTACCTTTTTCTAGGATTGCAAAGCAGTCGTACAACTGAATATACTGTGGATTGAAGGCTGGGATCTTTAGTGCTCATGATTTCTGACTGTTGATGCAATTATGTTGAAATATATAGCAAGCATCACCGAGTTCACAGCCCTACATCGCTAATGTGTGACTGCTGCTCTGCATAGATAACATGTTTGTGTAATTTTCCCAGATATTTACATAATGGCGTGGCTAGGGATGGGACGATTACCGGTTTCACGATAAACCACGATAAAATGGCCTGGCGGTTAGTATTATCGTTTAAAATTTAATTATCATAAAAACCGTGTTTGATTATCGTGATTTTGAAAACTCGCGGTAAATCCTGTCCAGCCAGAATCAGTCTGACTCAGGCGCGACGCGAGCAGGTGCGCAGATGCAATGTTGTTTTTTTGCGCGAGAAGACATGGCGGAAGGCAGTGACAGCGCACGGGAGATTTTTCAGCCATCCAAGAGGACAAAATCGGAGGTATGGTCGTATTTTGGCTATTACAAGAGTCCCGAGGGCAATTTAATCGAGGATGGGCAGCCTGTCTGCAAATCTTGCAAGAGGAAAGTCGCTGCAAAAGGGGGTCAAATCTGAAACACGTCAAATCTGCTAAGTCATCTAACGTTACGTGACAACCACCCACTGAGTTAATTTTTTACCTTAATAGCACAACTAACTTGGGCAAATAATTAGACAAAAAATGTATTGGAGATGAATTATTTCATTATCTCACTTGTAATTATTGCAAAGCTTCCGCGAAGAGAAAAGTTTTACAGCAAGTGGATTTGAGCCAAGACGAACGAACATATTCAAACTATTAAGGGTGACATTTAAGGGATAATGTATTGTATTCATTCATAGTAAACTTATTACAGTTTTATTTTTTTATTTTTTACCACAGAAATAATTTAAGGGACATGAAATATTGAATTGTGATTAACTTAATGTTTTTAAATCTTGCCGGTTTATAAATCCATTATACAAGTTACAGTGTCCAAATCAATCGTAAAGTAAATGTGATCACTACAACAATATTGTAGTAGTATTAATACTAAATTACTCTGATTTAATTTTCAAAACAGTCAAAACTGAGACGCAAGACATACACATTTGAATGAAACCAGAGATTGCGTCCACGGTGATCCGAGACATGGATGTGCGCTGTGTAGTGCGTTGCTATTTACAACAGTCATTATAAGTATTCCAGTAGTTTAGTCACCCTGACCCAACCAACATATTTTGTTCATTTAAAGTGTGTGTGCGTGCGTGCGTGTGAGTGTGTGTGTGAGAGAGAAAGCGATTTATTATTTATTAATAATAATAATATTCAGTCATACACACATCCATAAGTGTTATTATCATTATTAATGATAGGGTTTAATGACGGGTTCATTAAAACCTGCACTAGGAAAACTTATACCTCTCACTCTCAGGGCTCCATGTTAATGTTAATATAATGTTTATGCTTAAAAAAGTGCATATAGCTGCTAGCCTGCTAATTGTATTTTTTGTTTGTTGATTTTCAAATGTTTTCAGGGTGAGCATCAGTTCTTTTTGAACATTTCCATCTCATTTTAACAAAACCGTGATAATATTGATAATCGTGATAACTTTGGTCACTATAATCGTGATATGAAATTTTCATACCGTCCCATCCCTAGGCGTGGCATTAAATGTTTCTTCAGCTAAATCTACTATGCTATGCATAATGGAATGGCATTGGATACATAATCGGTTAGAGAAGCTTAGCGGGAACCCATTACTAGTTTTAATGTATTAATAACTCTTTGCGTTGACTTGGTGATTTTATCCAAGCAATCAACTGAATGGATCATATATGGCACAACATATGGACCTTAATAAATGGAATTGGAAATGGTTGTTGACTTTTTTCAATCAAGATTTTAGATTAAATTGTACATATGTATGTTTTTTTCTTTTTTTGGGGGGGGGGGGATCATACTTATATTCAGCAAAGATGCCTTAATTAATCGAAAGTTACAGTAAAGAAAAATTGATATTTTCAAATAAATGCTGTTATTCCTCTGAAATAAACTTTCTATTCCTCAAAATAATTCTGAAAATAATGTATCACATGTCACAGTTTCAATCCACAAAAATATTAAGCAGCAAAACTGTTTTCAACATTGATAATAATAATAAATGTTTCTTGAGTATCAAATCAGCATATTATAATGATTTCTGAAGGATTGTGTGACACTGAAATCTGAAATAATGGCTGCTAAAAATACAGCTTTACCATCAAAATAATAAAATTACAGGAAAATATATTAAAATAGAAAACAGTTATTTTAAATTGTAATAATATTTCACAATATATCTGTTTTACCATACTTTTGATTAAATAAATGCAGCCTTAGTGAGCATAATATACTTATTTCAAAATATAATATAATATAATAAAGCATTTCAATTAATATGACCTATTACAGGTATTATAGAATAATTGGAAATGGTTTAAAATATGTTTTGATTTATTATAACATCATTTTGCAGGACACTGTTAAAAATGCTTGACATTTTATGGTAAACAGTCACAAAATAGCTGGTTCAGGCTTGCTTCCCTCAAAACACTATTGACTACAATTAAGGCCATCTCATTTATATTGCACTGAGTGAACAAATTATCAATGGTTTTTTTTTCTTTTCTCATCCAGTGATTTAACTCCCTTGCGTAATGCAGCATTAGAAATTCATGCAGCCAGGAGATTACTGTACTGGGAATAGCAATCTTTCAATAGAATCCCATGATCATATTTAGATGGCTCTCTTTATCACTGCATGTAGCTTTTGGCTCAGAGGAAAACTCAAGAGTGTAGCTCTTTTTTTGTGTGGAATATTTGGGGGGTATTTATTGTTAAGCACCAAACCCAGCATGCTGTCCTCCTTTAATCAATCAAAGTAAGGCTGCATTTGCATTATGCATGAGTAATAAATCTGTTATTCGTCTGAATCTAAAATAAATGCTCCAAAAAAGAAGAGCAATTCTCTATTGTTACTTCTGACCTATATTCCAATGTATGATTAAGATTTCTGTGAAAAACGTACATTTTGCTTTTGGATAAAATCATTTGATATTCATTCAACTGAGGATTTGTCTATAAATCAGAGACATTTCAAAGACTGTGTCCTGTCATACTGATTTTGATAATGCTATTTAATTTACCTGTAAAGTCACTATGAATTCATGCCATGGCTCAGGTGGACCCAACGGCATTTTGTTAAGAGAGAACAGCACAGCAGCTTCTCATTAGTCACGTCTGTGTCTAACATCCATATGAGATCCATTCCTCATTTTAGAATAAGGCAACATCTGATTCTGGCGCTACTATCTGTATCAGATTAGCTATGCTGAGATACAGCATTTCAAACAGGGAAAGTGACAGGGATAAAGGAAGGACCGGCGCACACGTTGTGTTGTGTAGATTCAGCATGCTAATGCCTCCAAGCAGAACAGTAAATTACTGTGTTTTGCTCAATCATCATTCACTGAGTCAGGACCATTTATCTGAAGGGAAGTATCTTGAATTTGCATTTACAAAAACATATAAGGCTAGATTATTGGCTATATGTACTGATAATGTGGTGTGCCTTTATTTATGCCGTTTTTACTTTTTTAATATAACTGTATAAAAGCAACACCAATATATATTTTTCTAGCTGCTTTTTCTGGCCTGTTCAAATGGTAATTAAAAAAAAAGTGAAATAGAGAAATATCTTATTTTCATGCATGCTAAAGTGTGTGTGTGTGTGTGTGTGTGTGTTATAACAACAAATTGTTCTTCTTGTGCAGAGTCGTATGTAATATTATGCAATGAAACATAAAGGTTGTTTGTGTTTGTGCTCAAACTCATCCTACCTAATTTTTGCATGCATGCACGAAGCCTCTCCTCAAGATTAGACACCCTGTTGTGAAGCTCCTCGTAGTCAAAGGCCCCGATCTCCTCCTGCAGTTCATTTAGCACTGATGTCAGATTCTTGACCTCCTCTTTAAACTGCATTACCAATTTTGCATCGGCCTTGTATTCCTCCAACACTGGTATCATTGGCCTAAGTTCCTCCATTTTCGCTTTTATGGCCTGAAAGGTTAAAATAGGCTTGGTTCAGTAGGCATGCGTGCAATGATTGCGTCCAAACACCTGTCTTGCCCTGCACTTGCCCTCTCTGCCTACTCTATCATAATTTCTGAGTGTGCCTAGCAAAACAGATGTAGAGTTCAACATGGCATAAAACAAGTTCTCAGTACACCAGCAAAAATTTGAAAAAACTCTCTTTATTTTCCAACGTTTAAAATGCAAGGTGTCGAAGGTTACATGCTTCACATACAACAATAGTTTCTCTTTGTTTCAAAATATCCAAATGTGCATAAACAAATCTGAATTAGGAAAAGACATGGAGAAGATGTCATAACATAAGAAAATCTACTCAAGGAAGGCTGCAATAGTGGCATGCACAAAAAGAGCGCAAACATAATTCAAAGGTGCTTTGTATTTAAAATAAACTGAATGATGCGATCAGTTGGCCAGCTGAGGATTACAATGGGATTGAACTTGTTCTTCAGTCTCTGCAGCTTTGATTTAATTCATAAAGTTAGCCCTGCAAGCAAGAAAATAAAATTTTGTTGAATAGCTAACTCGCTAGCCTTTCTAATACACACATGTTCACAGATACAGCTGCATGTACAGAAATAATGCAACACATTTGATATGAAAAAAAATGAAATAGGATGAACTAACACACAAATGCATGCTTCGAAATTATTTGCAGATGTGCAAATAATCATGATGGTTTATGCCCAAGTTTATGCACATAAATGAGGACACTACCATTCAAAAAATGTTTGTTGTTGAGAAAACGGTGATACATTTTTTCCCCACATTTTTTTTGATGAATAGAAAGTTCAAGAGAAAAGCATTTATTTGAAATAGAAAATCTTTTGTAATATTAGAAATGTCATACTGTAAATAAATGTAATGCATTCTTTATAAATGCATTCTTAAAATTGAATTCATTTCTTTTTAAGAAAGAAAGAAAGAAAGAAACTTACTGACCCCAAACGTTTGAAAGGATGTTTATATTATATTGTACTGGGATCATAAAGTGCTAAATAATCTTCGTCCAAACAAAGAAAATGCATTTCCCATGTCCTTTGATTCCATTTATCAAATTCATTCTTTATGTTTTCCTACTTCAGCTGAAATGCCATGTTTGTATATATGCTCTGTGTATACCTGAACTTCTGAGAGTGAACAGCGCTATGTAGGCTGTGGTATAAAGATCATGACGGTGTATACGGTGACCTTTTCCAGTGATTGCATCCAAATATTTGATGCTTTCATGTAATAAATGTTTAAAGGTCAAGCCTTAAAATGTTTTGAGTAGTTTTCTTACTTGGTAAATGAAAAAGAGGTGCTGCCAACACTGGCCTTCTGACCTGCCAGATTTGTGTGCACATTCCTGACCATAATATTCAGTTTAACAAAAACAAAATGTCCAATGCACTATTTTCGTTTAGAAGACTTTGAATGGCCAGATGATGCTGAAGGAGCTAAAAGACTGTGCTAGACAGATCTATAAAATCTATGCCACTTTGGGAGCTTGATACGCACTGCAAATTGCAATGCGCAACAAATCACTGCGCCTCCGTTTCGAAAAATAGCAACGGCCTCATTAGCATGCAGATGCAATTGATATCAGGCAGCTAACAATACCTAAGATGGAAAATGAATCATATTTTGTAATTCACTTGTGGTGGAAAATGCCTGTGTCATCCACTCAGGAGGAGAAATCATTCATAACAAATATTCTGAGCTCACTTGGCATGCAGATATACAGAAAATGAATATGCTCAGTTGTTTTCTCAAAGATCGATTAGTTAATGTAATGTTAAAGGCCGGTGTTGGGAGCGGAATTAAATAAGTGAGCTAACCTTTTTGTAAATGAGAAACATTGTATGCGGTTACGAATTAAATATGACATTTACAAATGGAATAATCACAGTGAAGAAAATTTGGATGAGTTCATATATTTGTTTGTACACACCTTGTATTGCTTTGCGATATTCTGCTTGTGGCTTTCCTCCACCTGTTTGAACTTAGATTCCAGGCCTTTCAACTGCACCTCCATTCTTTGCACATACTCCAGGTCTTTCTGGGTCCTCTGGTCAAGACTCTGGATGGACTGAGTCATATTCTGGACCTGAAAGAGAACATATAGACGAGTAATAAGCCATGTGCTGGGTGACGACCCTGCCGAAAAGATCTGTGAAAGTGAGCTATGTATTCTAACAGTAGGGCGTTGTGTGGATATTTGTGTGTGGATTATTTTCAAAGGTTACTTTTTCCAGGAGCTGTCTCAGTTGTTTGGTTCTGGCGTCCCGTGAACACATGGTCTGCTGAGGAGCCACAACAGTGCACACACACCTGCCCTCACTGTCTTGCGCTGAGCTGTACACCTGCCACGACTCCTCAGGGTTAGCAGGCAGCACCTGGGCAAGGGGCAAAACCAAGAGGAAAAAAGGTCAGTGACTGATCGGGATGTGCTGTTGCAGCTTTATAAAAATGTTATCCTTTTTTCCACTGACTGCATTCTTTGGGAAGGTTAATTGCCTGAACACTTACACAAGGGTCAGACTGGAAGAGTTTTCTGGCCAGTTGACAGAAACGGTCATGCCAGTTCTTATGTTTCTTATGATATGTCTTAATGTTTACGTTGCAATAATCTTACATTTAATCAATCATGTGTTTCTTTAAACACTTGGTGACTGTGGTTTATGGAATGTTGCTTTTGTGAATTCTGCTGAAGTAAATATGTCACTGAGGTAATGTTATTTAACTGGCTGATATAGATGAAGGTTTTGGGATTGTAAGAACGACTTGCTAATCTTGGAAGGATGAGAGTTATATTCAAAATGAGATGAAATTATAAACAAATCAGTAATGTGTCACACTGTATGCAATTGATTTCCAGCAAAAGTGTTTATAAAGTGTAGGCTATAGCTTAACAAAATAATATATGATCATTTGTGGCAGGACTAAGGAAACTTATTATTGAGCCAAGCTACAGCATCTCAGTTCTCTCTCTCTCTCTCTCTCTCTCTCTCTCTCTCTCTCTCTCTCTCTCTCTCTCTCTCTCTCTCTCTCTCTCTCTCTCTCTCTCTCTCTCTCTCTCTCACACACACTCTCATTTTTTGTTTCTCCTTGTCCATCAAGAGCAGAGCAGTGTATTAGTGGTCAATATATACTGACAAAATACAGTTTTCTAAGGATTTTCATAATTGGTGCTTTGATGTGAAATGGTCTTTTCTCGAAGGGGATTTTATGACCCAGTGGCTTTACATAAAAGAGCCATCTGGAAGAGTGAGCGTTTCCGTATGTCTTGCCCTAATCCTGAGTAATCTAATGAATAATCCATATTCAAAACCAGTGCGGACAGAAAGCACTTTTTATTAAATCTAAGGAACATCTTTGTAAATCTGCTGCTACTGTAATGCTGAATTCAGATTAAAATACAATCTATTGTTTTTATTGCGTGAGGATAGAGCTCACCACAATATCAAAATAGTGAAGGCATATATTTAAACAAATATAGAAAAGATAGTATCTTTGTCTTGCTCACAAATAACTGATTTAAATAGTATAGATTTCAACACAGCATAGATAGGTGACTCATAACAATTACCCAAGACTACAAACCCACTCAAAGTCAATAATCACCTGCCGTTTTAGTTTTATCAGGTTAATTTTTATTGATATCCAATGTTATGTGTCACTTTCAATGGACAAAACCCTCTGTCTCCTTAGGTTTAAATCTGATGCACAAAATCTGAATCAACATTAAGTTGCACACTGAAACTCTCCTTATAAAAAGTATATGGCGGTACTACTGTACCAAGGTAATGATATCACAGGGTAATACCATATACTTCAATCCACAGTACTAAATAATTACCATATTCATATTATGGTATATGTTACTCTCCAATGAACAGTAGCCTACTTAAAAGAATACTATGCACCATGAATAAAACATGATATTAGCATATAGTCTACAACGTAAAAATACTTTTTTTATTTGTTCTTTTTAATAGAGTTGGAATGTCTTTTTTATAGCCTATACTGTATGAATTAGCTACATCATTTTTCCATTTTATAACATGCATTATTCAAATATCATAACCATTTGTAACGTGTAAATAATATTTTAATATATTTTGCAGCTCATATTGTCTAAATTGAACATGAACAAAGAGAATAAGGAAACTCACGCCAGTGCTCCGGTCCGGCACACCCGGAGGTGCCACGCTTAATTTGGTGCTATTCAGACCAACTAGAGAGGGCAACGTTTGCGACATCCAGTTGGTGATCATTGCCATCGTGCTGAGCACTACTCCAATTTTCAGCAAAGGCACCGACATCTCTGCTCTTCTCTTTCCCAGTAACCTTCATTATACACATTCCAGTAGAGAACTGTGCTGGTAACCTGCGCTACTGACAGAGGTGATGTGCTTTTGTAAAGCACTCAGTGTAAATGAATTCATCTCGGACGTTTCTGCTCGCACCTATACTATACTGAACTTTATAATTACGCAAGCTCTCTCGGTTTATAAGCAGAGTGCTGTGCTGTCTCCTCTCTTCACGCGAATAACGAACGACGGCAGTTCAGCAGACGATCTCATCTCTTTGGTTCCGTGCCCCCGCCCAGCCAGTATTGGTGAAATATTCATAAATATCACAAACCTCCCCCTGGCGCTCGACGCACGAACGAAATCACAGAACACGCACAGAGTTTTCCTTAGTATGTATCACGATACTCACACTGACAGCTTACTTAAAAAAACGTAGACAAGATAGTGCACTCACTCTGCTCCTAAATAGCCTAGCCTACTGTAAGAGCGAGGCGCCAGCTCTCTTTGATGCAGATAGTGATTGTCTTAATAAGTAATTAACTAAATATTTAAAAAGTGTAATGAAACAACGTTTCAGTAGGCTATGCATCAAAGTTGGATAACATAATACAAGTTTTTCAGAATATGTGCTAAATATGCTTGCGAACAGAAGGCGCGTTCGCCTGTTGTAGTTCGCGACTGCATTCCGATTGAACGGAAACGGCAAAACATCTAGGCTACAGTAATTTATTTTAATTTTTAATTTTATTTTTTGCTTTGTTATAAATTTACATACACACGGGGGCTGTCAAGTGTGCTGGAGACGATATAAAATTTGGTTTACGGGAGACGAAATTACAAAGTCGACTCCGTTGAATAATTCGCGCGCTGTGTAGTAATATTCCGGCTCATCGGTGTAATAGTAACGATTACTTAAGTACCTCGACTCTCTACGGTATGCAGTAGGCCTACACAGTAGGCATACAAACATTATTGATGTGCTAGATAGAATAAAGTTGATTAATGCTCACTGAGCATGTTAAACTCTAAAATATCAGCAGATGTTAGATTAAAAAGATTACTCACTTATGCACACTTTAAAACAGTGCTTTATGAGTTTTATTTATGAGTCACTTCTGAACAGGGGAATTTTGAAAGGATAGCTGACCAATTGTCTTTCAGCATGTCATGATATTATTTGACCAAAAGAGGGCAGTATAGGTCTCCTTCTCATTTTTAACATTTGTATCTTGGTCAAGTTCCAATCAGACCCCATGCCACCCACCACCCCCTTGCCCAGCAAACAGTAGATAATTATTATTTTTTAAATCAAACATATTTGGCTTGTACTAGGCTACACATATACACCATAGACATGTTCCTAATGAACATGGTGACAAATAACAGATTTAATTTAAGAACATCCTTTTCCTCTCTATCGTCTTCATTTTCGGTCCCTTTTCTATGTGATTTTGGCTAGCAACATTTGTTTTCACCTGCACTAACACAAAAGGGGGAATACCTGATAGGTCACTGATTTACACATGAGAAATTTCCTTCCTATGCAGGTCAACCATATTTACGAACGTTTTGAGCAATTTTATAAAATAATAACATGCGAATCAACTTATTTTGATTAAAGATTAATTAAAGATATTGTCTAAAATAATGTTTTACTTCTGAATTTATTAACATGCTGTAATATGAAGTGCTTCTAACTCCATAATATGTCAATTTTGTATCAACCTGCATTTTTATTAATTGAAACAAGCTTCTTTTTTTTTCTTCAGTGATTTATAATTTGGGGCAGATTACAAATCATGGCATAGGGCACTTAGTTTCAGACAACTGATTCAGTTAAATTAATCATACAATAAATCACAGTTCATAAACTAACATAATTTTAGCATGTTTTCTTAATAGCTTGTATAAGGTGAAATAATAATAATAAAAAAGCCCCATGAAAGAAAAAAAACAAATGAAGAAAAGCAAAACTTGCATTTGGTTTCTCTCACAGAACAAACAGCCTATTAGATTATTGAAAAGAGGCTAAATTATTTTTCTGTAAAAGCAAATGACCTTGCCCCTTCAGTATAGCTTTTTTTCCATTTGATTAACTCACCAACAGTGTAAAATGTCAAAGGCGTGAGAAAAACAGTTAGGCTACTGAAGAGAAAGCATCATGAGTGTGGAGAAAGCAATTTGCTTGCTATTTCTGTCTTCAAAGTGAGATTGTAGAGTGTCAGAGACAATCACAGTGTGGATAATGAGAATACACTGCACAAGCCCTGGAGTGTTTTATCTTGAATAGGAATAATCATACAAATGATACAATGATACTGATGATCACTCACACACACAGACTTCACTGCTTCCAAGAGGCATTTATCTTTAAATAATAAAACTGTCAACTATTACTATGAAAACACATTCATTATCATGCACAATAACCCACATAAAAGTTACTATAAAATAACCCCTCTAGCCATGTGGTACAAAGGCTCTAGATACGAGAAACCCCGCTTTGATTTTCTTCTAAATGAGGTTTATCATATCAGTCCATCCCGATCTCTGCTGCCCAATAGATTAATCTGCACTTATGATAATACATGAAACCGGCTTATTTCGAGCATATCTGCCTAATTAGCCCGAGATGTGCGCTGAAAATGGCGTTTATAAACCTACTTGGGTGAGTTCAGTGCCCATCAGTACAAGGAGGGTGAGACTCAGGAGCTTGCTTGCAGGCTGCATCTTCTGCTGCCGATGCCACCTGATCCGAAGATATCACATGCAGAGCTGTTTTCTGTCCAGCTGTCCGGCTCTCTATTAGATGCTCCTCTTGAAATTGCGTAAAGGCTATGATTTAATTCAGCGCCAAAATAATGGGAAAATAAGATTGGAATGGTTTACAGATGCGTCTCTTTGCATATTTATCTCATCTCAGCTCCTCGACGCCTCCTCGTCCTCTTTCTTCCTGGACCACCGATCCGATCGCGAATGTAGGGATGTGCACGAAAGCTGCGAAAAATATTACTTCATCACTGGACAAACTTGGCTTGGTTAATACGAGAGGGAAGGTGTGGGCAGGAAATTTGAGAAGCGGGGCCAAGCAGTGGTGCTGTACCGGATGTGACACGGACTGGAGTGGGAAATTCAAGAAACGTATTCACAGGGACATGAGCAGCGCGCGCGCAGCGTGAGAAGCTGAGTGGAGAGCGCGCACTTGATCAGCTATCACTGTTGGACATGAGCTCTCAGTGAGGGTGAGAAACAGCACAGTTCACAGCAGAAGTGCCAGGGTTTCACTAAAGGATAATAAAAAGTGTTGCGAGGTTGCCATGGAGACTCCTCCTTGGGTATCCCTGGTGAAAAAAATAAATAAATAAAGTATACTAGCCAGACTAATACTTCAATTGTGTTAATAATTAGTTACTGTAACTTGAAGTGTGCTATTTTGAAACAACTAATTGTGTACTAAGTATATTTTAGTTGCAAATAAATAGACTTTTTAAAAATAAACTGAATTTTCACTTGAAGTAGCCTATATTTTTCTAAAATATATTTTTAGAAAATATAATAAAGTACAATTATATTAAAGTGTGTTAAAAGTTGTATTGTTAAAATAGGTAAAAGCATGATGCTAATAAACTTTTAATATATTTAACGATAGTAAAATCAAATGTATTACTTATTAATAATCAATTAATTAAATTCTACAGGTGAGCTGGGCACAAACTAATGTGGGGGTTGTAACACATGGTTTAAAACTTTCCACACATGACGAAACTTAGTGTACATACTAGTTGCCATATCAACACTATATAGAGAAAAAATAGGCCAAAATTAAAAAAATATATCTTTGGAAGATATCACTGAACATTTATTTAACTATAGCAAAAGTAAATTTTTCATCTTTGTTTTTTGTGTTTATTTAAAATTAGACAAATCTGATATTATTTTAATCTCATGTCTGTTATTTAACAGTTAATATAGTTATTTAATGTTGATATAACCAGCAGAAGACATTCGCCGGGTTTAAATCCCAGTTGCGCAGAGATAAGGAACGTTGAAACGCTGCGTTACAATCTGCCCTTATTAGACTCTAGAGCTATTGAGAAACCATGAGAAAAGGTGAATAAAGACTGAGAGTCAATGTTCAGACATTATTCATTATTATTATGTTTTGAACTATGCTGTATAACCAACACGATATGAAAGCGCGTATCTATACCACGAATTTAATTTATCGTGCCATTTATACGCCAAAAATAGTTTTTGCGTGTATATGATACGCAGTTTTCGCGTGTAATATGCACGCACTCAACATCCCTAATCCTACCCAAGAGATTTACAGTGTGTAGCATATGCACGCAAAAAAACAAAAAACATTTTTGGCGTATAAATAGCACGAGAAATTAAATTCGTGGTATATGTTTTTTGTCAAACTCAAAAATTAGTTCATTTTTAATTATTAAAAAATGCCATTATTTTATATGAAAAAGTTAATAATTGTATTATATTGACAAAATATTTTAGTTTGTCTTGTACATTTTTTTTTATTAGATCAGATAACATTTTGATCTGTCATATGGTCATGTTACAATGTGCCCCTCATGTTACAACCCCCACCTATGGGGCGTTGTCACATTTCACTTCCATTCGTTAGTGATAAATCAAGAAAAAAGTATACACTGTATGAATGAAACAAAAGCACATAATTGTACTAGACATGTGGGAAATTAATGTGGGGAAAAAAAAATACTCTGAACCCCAAGTGAACACAAACTGAGAAAGTCAAACAGTGTTGGTTGTACCCCGCTCTCCCTCTACTTGCCTTGGAGTAAATATTTCATAAATATCCTATAAAAGTCGTTTTATGCCTAACCAACATACCAAACCAATTCAGGACATTAAAGTTTCAACATTGTAATTTAATCAACAGAAACGACCTTAAATGCCACAGTTAAGGTTTCTCCATACTTACAGTAATTGACTCACCCAAAAGAGCGATAGGCTAAATGCCATCACCACGGTGGCCTTAAGAAGCACAACAGTCTAGAGTAAACTCCTCGAATTAAAGGTCGAATTAACACCTGCTGTTGCAGTACTATAACAAACAGAATGTGCAAACAGTCTTAGTTTGAAGACTATTTTTTAAATTTACATATGCAAATATGTAATAATTCTGGGGGGTTTTTTCATGGTAAGGAGCCCCATGGTGGATAGAGGTGCATTCACATTCTGAACTGTAAAAAAAACCCTTGTAATTAACATGTAAACCTGAAA